TCAGCCTAAGTGTCCCTAATATTGGGCCCTTATATAAATATCGAAGAAAAGCATTTTTTGGCAATTCACAATAGCATCCTAAAATATCCATTGGTACTGTCCAGATGACGCATTGTTCTAAGTGAAATTGAAGCACAGGTGATTTTTATCGATAGGCCGAATAATTAGATCCATTGGCCAACATTACAGACATTTTCTTTGTGCCCGAGCAGGTGAATTTTTTGTAATACCAAATTTAGGAATGAAAATAGCATAACTAACAAACGAAATTATTAATTAGGCTTAATATTGTATTGACAAGCCTGACATAACAGATATAATGTCTCAAAAATGTTCTACAAATAACGAGCTAATAAATAATATTTCAGCTCATTAGGATGTAACACGAGCTGGCAATTTTAGTTTGAATTTTGTATGGGGAATTTGGTTAAAATACATGAAAAAATTACACTCCTACACAGTATCGACCATAACAAAGCTTCCTTATTATCGATTTGATTCAGGTTTTCAAAACTTGTAGTTCAATCAATCAGTAACAACTTTGATGAAGATTGCAGCATGAATCCAGTTAGTTTTATTGAGATATTCGTTTTTGAATGTATATGAATATTTTGTATATGAAAATTTCAACCAAATCTCGTATTTATTTATTTATTTATTTAATTTGTTTTTCTTCATCGGACTTAACGCGTCTAAATGAAGCCAGATGGGGAAAAGCCTAGAAAAGGCGTAAAAACCCCATATCTTTTCGAAATACATGAATCACAATAATACAATACAATTACAACGAACATTAATCAAGTCTATAGCATAAAAAAAAGTTTTCCTCCTATGGCATAGAGTTGTCCGTGAATCAGGTAGAGGTCCTCGTCCTCCTCAGGAGTCTGCGTTGAATACAATGACGAAAGGTTTCCGCTGCACAGTTAAAGTCGAAAAACTCGTAAAACTCGTCATGCAAGCTGTAGTTCGCCGCACGAGGTCCAAGATGCAGGAAACTCCTCGACCGAAGAACTCGTTCGGGTGCGTAGATTTCGAATTCAGCCAAGATTCCTGGAGAGTCGATATTACCAATAAGTACTTTCGCTGCGAACACGGCCTGACTAATCGTCCGCTTATGTTCTAGAGTTTCAAAACCCAGGAGTTGACAACGATCTTCGTACGGTGTAAAGTTCACAAGGTCATTTCAAGGAAGGTGACGAAAGGCATACCGAACAAATTTCCTTTGAACTGATTCAATCCTCGCTAACCAAGCTGCTTGATACGGGCACCATACTACCGAGCTGAATTCCAAGATCGATCGCACTAGAGAGCAGTATAGAGCTTTTAGACAGGCAGGATCGCGAAACTCGTCAGCGATCTTGAAAATGAACCCGAGTTGCCTGTTAGCTTTCGCAACGATGCCCGAGTAATGTAGCTTGAATGTTCATATGAACATTGAACCAAAAGCGCCAGCCCGTGTAACGTCAAAAAGAGCTGAAACATTCAAAAGGTGGTTATTGCACCAAAAGACACAAGCCTGAATGCTGGCCTGTGGAATATATGAACTTTTATTTTTAGTGGTAATCTAGTTGATACGTTGCATAAGCGGCTTATATTTTGCTGTAATATACGAGCAGAATGCACATCATTAATTAATATCTTCACAATACTAATAGTTTTTCCTTATAGTTTGAACTACGTGTGCTGAAATTCTGAGCTTAATCGAGTTTGCTGAATCAGTTCTATGCACGAAAGAGTGAAGTAATGTTATTTCTCCATACATTTCAACCAATATCCCCATACAAATTTTAAATCAAAAGGTGCTTGGGATCAGCATGAATTGCCGAGGTTATGCAGCACTGGTTTTTCTACTTCAATTTGATAAATGTAATGGTATGAATTCTGTAATGAATGGTAGCCTTCCCGAGCAGGAACGAATATCTCTATATCTTAAATTTATATGGATGAGCATGACATAAGAGGTAAAATACCAAAACATAATACCAAAAAATATTCTCACAATACCATTTCAATACCAAATTATGATAATGCAATACCAAAACAATACCACACTTGTATTCTTTTGGTATCCAAATATCAATGTTTGTTATTTACAAAGTATTTTGCATGCAATTTTTTGGTATTATTCTTTGGTATTTTACCTCTTATGTCATGCTGGTCAACACCAAATGTTGGTATCAGATCAGCATTGGCAAATCAAAGTTGGCACTCGTGGAGAATAGAAGAACTATAACAGTGATGATGGTTTCAAAATTTTCCACGGGGAAGTATACGAATGCAATCTTAAAATGCTTTTATTTTGCAAATGTAACATTTTATTTAAATCTGGTTGCTGCTACAGTGGTAGAAAAGCTCAAATCTATGTGTACACCTAAAAATCTGAAAAGAAATTAATTTTTCTGTATTATTTGTCTATTGAGTAGTCCTTAAGTTTTCTACTAACATAGCATCAACCAGATTTAAATAAAATGTTCCATTTGCAAAATAAAAGCTTTTTAAGATTGCACTCGTATACCTCACCGTGTAAAATTTTGAAACCATCATCACTCTCATAGTTCTTCTATTCTCCACGAGTGCCAACTTTGATTTGCCAATTAGGTTTCCATTAGTTATTTACTCCTGCTCGGGTTGTGGTTTCAGTTCAATCTTCAACACACGGAAATGAAAAACTACCAAAAATTTGCCTCTTTTAACTCAACCTTGGACTATCATTCAATAAGGTAAATTGTATTATTTGTGCAAACGTCTAGTACATGCGCAACTACCCTACTAGCTCAAGGGGTACATCTATACTCACACAGATGTCGCTACAGTAGTAGTCAGAAGTGTCTCTTTCTGTCAGCGCTGCCATTTATACAGATATATCTGTATTATACAGATTTTTTAATCTTAATACAGACCCGATACAGAATACAGATTTATCACAGATTTTTAAATTACAATACAGATTTATACAGATTTTTATAAAATGCTTGAGAAAAAACTATATCAAAATAAGTTATCAAGCAGTTCTCACTAATATCAATACATGTTATAATTTTGATATTCTTCGCATATCTTTTAGCTCTCATTTTTGTTCTGTTAGCCATCAACTCCATCAAAATGAAATCAATTTGAGTTATCAGGAATAATGAAAACAACATAATTCTTGTTTTCATTTTGTTCTCACCCTCTGCTCGGGAACCTATCAAATTTCCATCGACAATTAATCATGTTATGGTGTTTTTGACAGCATTCACAACCAGAGGACCAACCGCTTTCGGATGCAGATGGAGCTGGTAGTAAACGATTTGAGATTGTATGGGGATTTACAGTATTAATTGAATATTTCCAATATAAGCATGTATGTTAAATACAAGAAAAGTGCCCGAGCACATTAAAATGGTACAAATACAAGTACTCGTAAACATTTTACTTGCATTGAAAATGTGTTTCGTAAGAAATTGCGGATTTTCTGATATTCTCCATACTGCAAAAATGATTTTACCAGCACTGGCGGGGCGACATCTCTCGACTTTTCGGTGTAACTACCACACAAATGATGTAATTAATTGTATTCATCTATATTAAAAATATCAAATAGTAATGAACTCGTGCACTTTTTTGCATTTAAAACTGCTTATCAGGAAGATAATGAATAGAAACTTAAATCTCCATACATTTTCAAACGGCTTCATATCACTCTTATAAATAAGTACGGACGATATCACAAATGGCGCAATTATATCCCGTATGGCTAGTACGATAGCCCGAATAGGTGGTTAAGCACTTTTTATGGTTATTTTGTATGCACTGTATTTGTAAAACAACAAAACATGATTAATTAAGAAAAAAATCGTCAATACAGAAAATACAGATTTTTTAATAGAGTGGATACAGATTTTTTATAAAACCACCTGGCAGCTCTGCTTTCTGTTGTGTACTGTTTTGTATTGTATTTGAGAAATAAAATTATAGTTCGTATGCCGCCGCCATGGCAGGACGGCCAATCCAACGGTCGTGTTTTACTTTATGTAGTGCTCCGTAAACACAACGTAAATAGGATCCAGCCCGTGCGCGATCATAATTTGGTGCCGTGACCAATCGTGACACCTGCGGGCAACGCTTTCAAGTCCATGTAACCACTGGATATGTGAAGTGAAAAACGCGATACACTACTGCAAGGATGCCGCTCCACTTCCAGCTACGATGGTGTGGCCTTCAAGGCAGCCATCTAGCTGAGCATGTACGTTCCTGACTCACCATGGACTAGGACAGTTCTGGTCAAGGAACATGCTCACTCCAAAAGGCGAGTGGGTATGCCGGATACATGTGCAGTTATCGTGTTTGTCGTTCATCTTCGTGTTGTATTCGGAATATTCATCTCATCAATATCCGTTTTATCAATGGAAAACCGTTGGTTTTGAGGGGGGAGTATGTTTGTGCAAACGTCTAGTACATGCGCAACTATCCTACTAGCTCAAGGGGTACATCTATCCTCACACAGATGTCGCTACAGTAGTAGTCACAAGTGTCTCTTTCTGTTGTGTACTTTTTTGTATTGTATTTGAGAAATAAAATTATAGTTCGTATGCCTCCGCCATGGCAGGACGGCCAATCCAACGGTCGTGTTTTACTTTATATAGTTCTCCGTAAACACAACGTAAATAGGGTCCAGCCCGTGCGCGATCAAGTATATATACCTAATTTTGGGTAAATTGGAGAAACTAGCTAATAAGTAAATTGAAGCAGTCCCAAATAAGCCAGCGTTAAGTAAAATTAACTTACTGGTAGGTGAAAATGATTAGAAGAATATCCAGCCAAATAAAGCCACGATTGGGGCAACAATAGAAGACTTTTTAAAGGATTGACGATAAATATAAATCTGTAAAAAAAATCTTATGACAATGAAGAATAACCAAACGGAAAAAGAAGCTGTTTCAACCATCAAATAAAGAAAAATACATTTTTTTACTAATTTTTATTGATCACTGAAAATCAATCCAAATCAAAATACAAAAATGATACTGCCATCGGTTAAAACGGCTATGGTACTACCGTCTGCCGGTGGCTCAGCCAAACCCGGAAAATCTGCCGTAAGGTAAGTGGAAGCTTAATCCAAGTGCAATTAAAGACTGGAACGCGCAAACATTGGTCGACAAAAAAAATCGTTTCTTTCAGTCAAAATTCATATCACAAAAATTTTCTTATTTTTCTTTTGATAGTTCAATTCATATATTTAAATGAAAAAATATTCGTTTATTCTTTTGGTTTGCCAAATCTGAACTGCCGTGCCTTCCGCTTAACCCATTCCATTAAATTTTGCACATTCGTCGCCAAACGTCAGTTAGATTTAAACTTCTACTCGTTTTCCATGGATTTATTAGTTTTTTTGAGATTCCGTTTGACCAAGGCCCAATACCGTTCGATAGGGCGGACTTCTGGGCTGTTGGGCGGGTTGTGGTCTTTGCACACTATGAAAGACATGCAAATTTCAGTTCCCTGAGACCGACACATGCAAGCTTCCCTTTTGACATAATAATCAGTTGGAAAGGACAAGAAAATCAATACAATCAAACGCACTTTTCGTCGAGTTGCATATGTTTCAGTTTCAGGACACTTAATTTTACATGTCATGGTTGTTTACGTTCCATGATTTACGTCAAAGCTGAATTACGTCTCGTGCAAAAGTAGTAATTTCTAAGTATGTGGGTACCACAACCACGTTGTTCGCATCGTACCACTTGATTGCCTTTTTTCCCATAGTGGCTGCTCGCCAAGTCTGGCCAGAACAGCACAGGTCTATTATGTTGCTTTATAAATGGTAGCAGCCACTTTTCTAGGCACTCCTGGACGTAGATCTCTTGATTGATGGTTCCCGTAGTAATGAAAATGCCGCTTTGTAGACCACACGTGCATATGACCTGCCAGACGAGATATTTTTTCGAGAACTTCGATAGTTTGATGGTTTTGAAAATTTCAGCCACCTTCCCTTTTCCTGATACGGTATGAAACTCCTGTCCCGGAACCTGCTTGAAATCCGCCTTCACATAAGTTTCGTCGTGCATGACGACACAGTCGAACTTTGTGAGCAGATTCGAATACAGCTTTCGGGACCGCTGCTTTGCCGACGTGTTTTGTTTGTAATCTCGGTTCGTCACCTTCACCTTCTTAAAAGTTGACAACCCGGCTCGTTTTTTGGCCCGCTGCACAGTAGTATGGGAGACATTGAGCTTGCCAGCGACGTCCCCGGATGGAGAGGTTAGGATTCCACTTATATTTCACCGCCACCTTCTTCGTCGTCGCTGCCACGTCCGGATTACGATTGTCGCCACTTCTAGGCTACCTGGTGGTCGACAGACGCTGCCCGAACACTTTTAAAACGTTTGTCACGGTCGATTTGGCCACATCCAGCAATTTTGCCAACTTGGCGTGTGAGAACGTCGGATTCTCTTGCTGCGAGAGCAAAATTTTGACATGCTGCTCCTCTTGCTTGGACGTCATTTTGAAAACAGCATTTCAGGTTTTTTATGCATTTTCAACAGAAATACACCAATTTGAAGTTGACCAATTTTTACGCGTTCCAGACTTTACCAGATACTGTTGTCAACTGAAGTGGTTATCAGACTGTACCTCAGCCAAAACCGAAAAAAAACGCCGCAAGTGAAGTGAAATCCGTCACCGTCAATGCTGCAGATTGAAGTTCAATATATAACCAAAAATCAATCAATGTTATTAAAATAACATCATACTTATAACACAAATGAAGTGACAGACGACTAACTGGCGAAGAAATCCATTAAAATAATGTGGTTCACTGTAATAGAATTTTCTTGGAAGCTTGTGCCATCATCCACCAGATGGGTTAGTTTTTTTGTTTTGATTTGAACAAAGTTGATTTTGTGTACAATGATTCTTTGACAGTGTGCAAAGAGTGTATCATTTTGTCATTTTTTTTTTTTATGCATTTCAGTTTTGAGTAGAGTGAAAGAGATAGAACCACAACATTCTAATACATTTGGTGAAAATGCTAGTACAATCCAGTAGTAGCAACAATCAATACGAAACTAACGATTTTAAATTGGCTCACTACTTGACTAGCCTATTGGTCCCAAGCAAACGATTAACGTATCCCATTCTAGTCGAAATTCTAGTACTACGCAATGTTTGTTTTGATTCGCTATGAAAGTTTGACAGATAAAATGAGGGGTTATTGGTTTTTCCTATGTTTCGAGGGGTGAATCGATCAGCTTGGGACCGAAGGTAGTAGTGTTGCCATGTGGTACAATCCAGTAGTAGTGGTGTTGCCATGTGGTACACTGAAAAATTGAAATAGCAGGTTAGTCATCAAAGTTTTCGAGCCGCTCCGTCTGTCACTTCGTTTGTGCTTATAAGATACTGCCAACTAAAACGGTTGTAATGTTGCTGGTCGGAGGTTTACCCAAATCAGCCAGGGGCTCAGAACAGCAAAACACCAACTTGCCTTGTAAAAGATCGAAACAATTATGGCGCCATAGCTTGCAATAACACCGGAGAATATTTTCATCCAATTTTAAGTTTATTTTACGCAACGTGAACTATAGTTGATAAAGTTAGCGTTGGGTAGTGTTGGATTTGTGCTTATTTTGTAAAATATAAAATAAAGGTTCTTAGCAAAACCCGTTAAAACGTATTATAATATGCAATGAATATGAAGCACGTATGTATATCCTAAAAAAGCAAGTGTTTTAGAGAATATCGAAGATAATCTAGACTTATGTATTTCTTTCATTTTTTCAATATTTTGGTATCTCCATGATTATCATAAGGGCATAATTACAAGTTTTTTTTATTCTAAGCTAGGTATTGTAATATTTGCTCAACCTATCAGTAAAAAGTATTGACCTGTCGGTTCAACTTTTACCCAACGGGAGACTTTAAGCAATATACTGAAATTTGAGTAGCATATTTTTGTGTATTTTTTTTTTATTATCGTGTACGTTTGTAATGCAGTAAATATGAAAACAAAATACATACTAAGGCAGCAAGTTTAATTGGGAACCACGCCGCTAGAGGCACTATAATATTACTTATGAGAGGTGCTGTGTATTATCTCGTGATCATGGTCATATGAAAAATGGCCGTTGTTACCCAGCTTCCCAAATTTCCTAATAAAAACCTATTCGTAATATAAATTCTATGATTGTTTGTTGAATGCATAAAATGTGTAAACTGTAAAAGTACATACAACTCAAACACACTTAAATTGCCACGGGAGTAAACGAGAGCTGTCGCGAATTAGTAACGTCCCAACAGGAGCAACAAAGATAAATTGATCTTTTCCACTCTAGTCGTTGAAGCTGTTAGAAGTGCCTTTAGCTATTGGTAAAACCAAGTGCTCGAACCCAAGTGCAAACGATATTTGTGAAAAAAGGAAACGAAATAAAAGTCCCTTCATTGTAAGGAAAGTTGTGGGAAAGTTAGTAGGTGCAATGAAACATCGCCAAATTAGGTATGCTAAAATACGAAGACCCCAATAGCCAACTAGCGTCTTCAAAATACCTACCAGGACCCTAAATGACAATCTAACGCTGTGCTTAGGACTATCCACCACCGCTTAGAGACCTCGACGGAGTTCCAATTGATCCCTGGAGGCACCCAATTAATCCGGTTGATCTATACCTGAAACCTTCACTCACGTGTCTAAAGGTAAAACCCCGTGACCTGACCATGATCTTGAGATTTTTTTATGTTGGACCCAAATTTCATATAATATAGCACCCGTCATAAGTCATAAGTAGCGGTGTAGTTCAAAATTAAAGCTATACCCAATGATGCAAGCTTGTTGGTCTAGCCCAGGTCAACAACTTTGTCGAAGACAGTACAGCTTTATATATTTAAATTAATGAGATAATCCTACACATTCTTTACTATTTCTAATGCATTTCAGACCTCCTAAATAATATATGTCCAGAAGACTCGGATGGCAAATTTACATGGCGTAGATTACCTTGAATGTCAATTATTAAACTAATTACACGGCATGATGTGCATCAAACAGTGAAGCGCACATATTAAATTTGGCATAATGTCTATTAATAACCACGGAAGAGAGATCATTGATAACAAAATTATTGCAACGGACTGTGACATTTCACGATTATTTGACAAAAGTCGTATAAAAGTCAACATCAAAATAGAATTCATTCAGTATCCAAAATGCACCGACCGCCCACGAAAATAGTGTTCAGTGTAATAATTTTAGCTTCTCTGTTCATCAATAGCAGCAGATGTGCAGTAAGTCAAATTTAAATGTGTTCTGGACACTCGTCAACTGTAACAGTTTATCAGCAATGAAATAAAATGCATTTTATTCATTTGAAAATTAATGTTCCACGTCAAATAACTAATCGCAAAAACTCGACCTTCTCCGATTTGTATGAAACTTTGCGTAATTGTTTGTTATGGCAATAATTCAAATTTTTGCTAAAATTCAGCTATTTTGGATCATGTACCATTTTCAAAATGGTGTTTTTGATTTGTTTTTTTTTTCTTTTCAATTATTTGCAACATTGAAACGGCACTTCTCATCAAATTGATGTCAGAGACAAGGTTGTAGCGAAAAATAATGTTTATCTGGGAAAAATATACAAAAATGTTTTTTTAGTCATTTTAAGCAGTCCCGCAGTCCCTGCTAAAACATTATCCGTGCTAAATTAATACAAACAGTTCTGACAGTACTTTTGTAATTTCTGAATAGTGATGGAGTAATACAACATGCACTAAATTATGGACATGGGGTATACCACAATTGATCAAACAACTGATAGCAGTGAATTTATATCCCGAATAGAGGGAAAAAATCCACTGTTAACGAAATCGAGCCGATTCGACTCAAATTTTAAATCGGTCGACCGTGCAGATCATTATTTGTTTAAGCTCTTGATGCTTGGTGATCCGCTATGAAACGAACTTCATTTATTATTTTCTAGCGAGTCAAAGAGTTTGTCCAAGAGAAGGCTGCAATCTGCTCTACGCCCAACAGCAATCAATATGTGATAAAATTTCCTGGACCTCTTAATATTACAACAGCAAGCAACATTGTAAGATTCTACGGAAATTTCACCGTCACGGAAACGATTCAGGAGCCACTGGAGGTACTTTATAAGATCACTGTCGATGTAATGACCAACTCAACTCTAACCTATTTGTGCCCACAGTTGGCCGTCATACCCAACCGATGCACGATGGACATGAAGACGTGCGAGCTCTTCAACAAAGTGACTTTGCCCAACGTTTGCCGGTACATCAACGATGATAAAGGTCTTTGGGCTTCATTCTTCAAAAGTATGGAACCAGATCTGCGCTGTCCGATTAAACCTGGCGTCTATAAGTTTGAAAATTCCATCGCCGATCTTTCCTTTTTTGTCACATTTCCTCTCGAGGGCTACCGCTGGCAAACTAGCGTAAAACTTTATTCGAAGAACCAGTCGAAAAAGGAACTGTTCTGTCTTTCTTCACAGAGCTCCATGCGATGGGTTAAAAAACCGTAAATGTTTAATCCATCGAGATGCTCCAGCTGGTATCAAATCAAGTTGATTTACACATACATAGATGTTCGAACCAATGTTTTATTTATTGATATATTCTCCTAGGCATTTGCTGCGGAATCAATGATTATGGCAATAAAAACAAAGAACTTCAAAGATTCCTATATTTTTAAAATGACAATGATGGTACCATCGAAGACAACAAATCAAGAAGACTGGCAACTTTGACAGAATCCAAGCGACAGATACAATAGCGCTGCGCGTGAGTGAAGGTGGAAGCAACACATAGAAAAATGAGCAAATACACAAATCCTTCTTCTGAGGATGTAATCTTTGCTATCAAATTCGTTCGCAGCGTTAACCTTTGAACGGCAGATGACGCGATTGTACCTGTCTCATAGCGTTCCTATGAGAAAATGAAAGAGTTGCCAGTCTTCTTGATTTGTTGTCTTCGGTACCATGCATATTAGTATATCAAGTATCATGTGACGCACGATCACAAAGAAAATCTTCGCCTGAATCTGGTTCCGCTCCCACAGGAGAAAATATGTCTTTCTGCCAGGGAGTCAAAACACAAATAGTAAGCAATAAGGGCCCATGCATTAATTATGTCACACTAAATAGAGCAAAAAATTACCCCCTCCCCCCCTATCGTGACGTTTTTCCTATACCTAATGCATTGCTTGTCACAAAACCTAAGACCTTCCCCCCCCCCCTCCCTCCTTAGAGCGTGCATCAACCCAATATAGAAAAATCTCTTTCGACGATTGTCATGACAAACTCTCTCTGCAACAAAGCTAGGTTCCGATCAAGTGCATGGAAAATGATACAAATGTTTGAACATTTGTTAGCAACAAACACGGTTGATGGTACATGCACAGGCAAACAGACATAACCCTCGCATGTTGTTCATCGAACAAGCATTTAACGGTCAATTTAAAAAGTACCGTAGTTGGTAGTACCACCATAGAGGTAACTATAAGACAAGAAGGTCCCGAAGAAACGTTTTCAAATTTTTGGCTCAGCTCTGGTACTCTCTTCGGTCCCAAGCTAATCGATTCGCCCCTCGAAACATAGAAAAATCCACTAACCCCTCATTTTATCTGTCAAACTTTCATAGCGAATCAAAACAAACATAGTGTAGTACTGGAATTTCGACTAGAATGGGGTACGTTAATCGTTTGCTTGGGACCAATAGGCTAGTCAAATAGTGAGCCAATTTAAAATTGTTAGTTTCGTATTGATTGTTGGTACGAGAGTCGGTGTATAATGAGTCACGCTAAGAGTGAAGCCAAGTCTACCTATCGAACTGTCGAATCAGCTACCTATCGTGCAAAGTAAACAAACATTACGATGCTATGAAAGGTCCACGAAAGGTATTGCAAAAAATATAAAATATAATCGAAGAAATGACAGTAAACACGCAGTGAGCATTCAATTGTCATGGGATACGTTTGGTAATGATAAGTAATGAGAATTTCTACTATTTTTTGTTAAGATAATTTGATAAAATCACTAATATAATGATTTACTACAGCCCCTATTATTTTTTTCGCTAGAAGTTATTTGTAGAGTTAGAAGTCCTCTGTTGCCAAGTTAAAAGAAAGGGAATCTTTCGAAAACCGTGATGCGAGTTTAACTGTTTTTCTCTTGGCGTGACTCATTATACACCGACTCTAGTTGGTACCACCACCTGCACGAATCGCAAATCAATTATTTTATTCACGTGTTTCACTTATACATTTTTGCCAAAACATCAGCCTTACATTTCATAAGACAAACCACATAGGTCCTATAAGAATGCATCAAAGATATGTGTGACCGCTTATACGTTTCATTTAACACATGGGCTTCATTTACTTATTGCAAGGCGTCTGCTTATTAGTTGACTTATAAATTTTATGAATAATTAGCTATAGAAATTTGCCAAAAGGTATAAGGAGATTTCTATCCGTGTGTGGCGCGCATAGACAATTTCCTTGCGTTTGACGTTTACACACCACCGCCATCTGTTCAGCGTACTGCCCACCACAGTGTACTCAACAGATGGCGCTAATGTTTTAGCGTTGAAGTAAAACCAACAATCAATACGAAACTAACGATTTTAAATTGGCTCACCACTTTAGTAGCCTATTGGTCCCAAGCAAACGATTAACGTACCCTATTCTAGTTGAAATTCTATTACTACACTATGTTTGTTTTGATTCGCTATGAAAGTTTGACAGATAACATCAGGGGTGTGTGGATTCATGCAGAACATGCAGGGGTGAGTGAAATAGCTTGGGACTGCTTGGGACCGTTGTTCTGGTACTGAGTGAGCCAAAAATAATAATGATTTTCTTCGGGACCCAGTGGTCTTAGAGTTACCTCTATGGTTGTACCTCGGGTTGTAGCAATAATCAATTCGAAACTAACGATTTTAAATTGGCTCACTACTTGACTAGCCTATTGGTCCCAAGCAAATCGATTAACGTACCCATTCTAGTCAAAATTCTAGTACTACACAATGTTTGTTTTGATTCTCTATGAAATTTTGACAGATAAAATGAGGGTTTAGTGGATTTTCCTATGTTTTGAGGGGTGAATCGATTAGCTTGGGACCGAAGATACTCGCGAAGATAGTACCAGAGGTGAGCCAAAAAGTTGAGCACGTCTCTTCGGGACCTACTAGTCTTAGAGTTACCTCTATGGTACAACCGAAAACGTCGTCGATAAGCAAAACATCTTTATGAAATAAACACTACTAATCAGTTGTTAGCTGTTAGATTAAGAATCTCGAGTTAATAGTAAAATTTACGTTTATTTGCTGGTTTTTTAAGTTTCAACATTTGGTTTTACATTTCAATTAACCACTTCATTCGAGCAGTTAGAATGACATTTACTACCACTCGAACTTTGAAATAAAACATTATTTTGAGATTTTTTCTTCTAGAATCTCGAGAAAAGTAGCCAACATTTGTGCGTTTCACAAAAAATAGAAATTAGTTGGTCCAGTTTTGTGAAATCTCTGGTAGAAAGTCACGCCAAAACTGCTTGATAAAGTGGTCAATTGTCTAGCCTTTGGCTCTTCATCTTTGTTCTTGTTAATTAATTATTCTAATGTGATGATTGCGTTTAGCGCTTATTTACAGAATACTATTTTAAGGGCTTGTTTTCGAGAATCTCGAGTTTATTGCTCTCGACTATTTATATCATATGTAAACAATCATGTAATTCACTTCTTCCTATACACTGAATGAAGTTGTTGTTGGGAATGGATGAGCACCTTAATGTATATCCACCTTCGCTGGAAAAAATAACTTGATTACTGGCTACACTGTATTAAGCAAATTTTCATTATGTCGTAAGTAACATTCGCACCAATCCGAGAAAAATAAAGTTTTGTTTTGATGACCGAAAAGTTATTCCTATTTCCAAGTAAACACATATAATCTCATAGTCAATGTTTAACATATTTAGCAGGGTTTTAATCATACAAATGCAAATCACTAGCTTTCATGCTAAAAAATACTGGTTTTTGAGTCAAAAGTTATTATACGTCGTTTGGTGGCCCCTATTGTTACTTAAGTCAAAGTGTATTTACCAGGATATTCGGGAGAATTATCAATTACGTCTCCTTACGTGCAGATCATTCATCATTTTAGGACCACCGAAATCATCTTAGCAACAAACAGTTCGATTTATTCACTTTAATAATGAGAAAGCGAAACGACGAACGTACACTTTTCACGGGTTTCTCAGCGCTGTTACTTAAGTCAAACGGCATCTCCATAGAAATTGGGTGACTTAAGTAACATCGAAAACTATTTTGATCGGAAGGTGATTACGTCAAAAAGCAATTTGACTGGTAAATAAATTTAGAAATGGCATTTGATCCTATACTCGGACAGTATATAGTGTAATAGCAGGAGAATCGATTGACACTGATAGCTCGACTTTGTTTACTTTTGTTACATTCGACGTAATGAAAATTTGCTCTTGATTTAATGCCTTTTGAGTAGGGTTACCATATGGTATCCTAAAGGAGGACATGTCCTCCTTTTTGAATAATTTTTCTACATCCCCCTTCTGCCCGAAAATGTCCTCCTTTTTAATCCTTGCATTTTTTTCAGTAACATATTCATAAAATTGTTTTCAAAGAGCGTTGGTTGCAGAGCTTATTTGTTTAATTATGTCGATGGTGGGACTAGGAGTATACTATAGCCTATAGCTGTTAACCCCCTACATTTAGGCTGCGGTTCATTTTGGTGAATTTTAACTTATATTTAACAGTTGGAAAATTTTCAAATAATCCTGCTATTCTACCAGACTTATTTCAGACAAACCAGGAATCAATTTTGATAAACAATTTCTCAAAAACCGGACAACAACAGAGGGATTTTCGAACATTATAATTTATTTTACTAAAATTTGACATTTCGAAAATAAATTATAATATTCGAAAATCTCTCTGTTGTTTGTTGTTGTTGTGAATTTCGAGAAGGTGTTTATCAAAATTTATTCCTAGTTTGCCAGAAATAAGTCTGGTACAATAGCAGGTTTATTTGAAAATATCCTATCGGTCAAGTGTAAGTTAAAATTCACCAAATGGAACACTGGCACACAGATTGAATCTAAATAGCATGTGTTCGATTTTGACGTTCTGGTTCTATGGGATTTTAGGTATTTTGTTTAGGCCGCTGCCATACTGAGACCGAACAGGCACGCAAACCGTGAAATCGAATGTAAGGAATAATATCAATAATAGGAATTCTTTAGTATAGAACGATAGAACGCAAATCATGCCTCTTCGCTCCCACCTCGGCTCACACTATGGCATCGCCAGCGGTCTCTGAATCAATGGTAAAATTAACAGGTTGCTTAGATGTTGGCTTCTATAAGCGATGACATGTATCCTGATTTTTGTACATGATAAAAATTAGGATAGTTTTAAGGCTGTAAAGCTGTAGTATTCATGCAAATCAGCTAGACTAGATCATTTCCAAGTATCAAAAATGAATTATATGAAGGCTAGCTTGATGCATTTTTCAGAATAATAACGAGAAGATGCATTGAATTGGTAACGACTACAAGTTATGAACAATCTCTATTGAACTTTTGCAAATCATGAATTTTGTGATAGCGCACATATTATTAAAACGTTTGATAAAATCTCATTGTCCTTATTTAATGTTAAGTAAAGGAATCATTGTCCTCCTTAGTCTCCAAACCTTAAATGAAATATCTTCCTTTTCAAATTTTTTATATGGTAACCCTACTTTTGAGGTAATATTTTTTTTTCTTTATTAAAGAGACTTTTAGCCATGGCCTGGTTCATCTCTTGGAATCCCAGATGGGGATTCCCCTTTTTAAGGGAGGGGGGGGGGAATTCCAGAGGAAAATTACCTTAACAACTCAGTTTGGACACAGACAAAGTTTGGATCCCAGAGGGGATTTCCGAAAAGGGCGTGGGGCTCCAGAAACAGAGTTTTTAGCTACGGAGTTTTTAATTTGGTGGCCCTGGAAGGGAACCTCCGAAAAAAGGGTGGGGGTCTCTTAGTTGCTTAGTGGCTCTCTTAATACTGTCATTTTGTTGGAGAATTCCGTTTTAGTTGCGTTGGTCTGTATAGTTGCTGATGTGGGTGGTTAGTTGTGAGATTCAGGTTCCGAGTGTGATCTGGTATGGTGGTGATGGTGAGTTAGGTGATCAGATTAGATCGAACAGCCCAGCTTCCCGCAGGAAAGCTAGAAAGGCTGTAATTCTGGTAGGATCGTTACCGAGAGCGTCGCGGATGCTTCCAGGGATGTCGTAGCGGGTTCTTGGTGCTTCGTATTTCGGACAGTGGCAGATAATTTGATCTACCGTTTGTGGAATTCGGCATACACACTAAGATTTTTTTACTGTATACTGTAATTTTTTACCGAATACGGAACAGCAGAACATTCGGTAAACGGTTCGGTAATTTTTTGTTGTTTTACAGTACATTCAGTAAATTTATCTTCGCTCGTGACCTGTCAAAATTTACTGAACCGCATTGTAAATTAAGCTGAATGATTGGTAAAGTTTACAATAGCACGCTATAGCGTTCCGTAAATTTATAACCGACCATTTTGCTAAAGTTTTTTTTTTCTTTCTTAAAATTTGGTTATAAAAGCAAATCAAACGGTTTATTTGACTCATAAAAACATTTATTTTTATACGTATGTATGACGCGAATAAAGTTATCGGCGGCAAACTGGGAGATGCAGGAGATGAACCAGCTACTGGTTGAAAACCTCGATGATTAAAAACTCCACACACATTGGTTGTTTTTTTCATTGCAGTTGTTGACATTCGGCTTATTCCATGGTGACTGGTAAACAGAAATGATTGACCTAGGACCCGTGAACTGAATGCAAAATAAAATTCAGTATAGCATAGATTACATAGATTATAGCAAAAAAACTTAAGTACTTACTTTTCACACTGGAGAAACAAAGACCACTCAAACTCTTAATGGTCGCAAAGTTCGAGGTTGACAGCGAAGGTGACAGTATGAATTTTACATATCTGTTCGGTAATTTTTACAAGAATCTAGCATTTGACTACCGTTTGTTTTGGTAAAAGGCTATTTACAGTACGTTCGTCACACTTTTTTACAGTATTGTAAAATTGAAGCCATTTACAGTTTCGATCAGTAATTTTGGTTTACAGTTTTCGGTGATTTTCTGAAAATTACAGAAAATCAGTATTTTTCATTGCGGAAAGATGGTAATATACTACAATTTACATAAATATCGGTAAAAATGATATTTTACAGAACGAGTTCAGCAAAAAAAAGTACCGAACACAATTTAAGAAATTTGGTGTGAGATCACAAATCCTATGGAATGGTCCGTCTCCCTTGTAGTTGTGGGAGATGTTTGTATGATGTGTTCGGAGTCGGGATACTATGACCTGCTCTCGATGTAACGGTGGGTCCGACCACCTGGAGATGTTTCTTTTAATTTTTCTTATGGCATGGGTTTCACTGGCCTCCCAATCGCGTGCCCAACTTTCGTTTGTGATTTTTGATACCCATTTTTTGAGGTCCGGAACAGGTACAATTCGTGTGTACTTGGCCATGCAACGACCTGAGTAGGCTAGTTGGTCCGCTTTTACGTTACCATGGAACCCGCAGTGTCCAGGTATCCACACAAAGTCTGTGTTGTTTGGCGCGTGTTCCTGTATCGCCTGGATCCAAGGGTGTTTGCTCGTATAAGCAGGAGCGATAATTAAAAACACGTTTTAAAAAATAGCTTGGGGAATAATCAATGTGCACTTATCCCCCTTTCCATCCAAACAAGAATCAATTTCTGGAATGCTGAATTTTTCAAGTCACTTAAGTACTAAGTCAAGACTGAATTAACATGTGCGTTTTCTACCACACACAAAAACATGACAAAGTATAGGTTTGTGTCATAATCTATTTTTTTAAACTTTGTCACTTGCACAGTTGAAATAAGCATCATAGAAACCAGCCAACTGATTCAGTAAATGGAGAAAATGTTAAATGTGGCATGAAATCATTTAATAATGGCAGATGTTAGATAATTTGATATTTTAATTACTGTTACGGTTTGTGAATTTCAACATAACCATTTTGATCGTATAAAAAAATCTGCGTCAACCAGAAACGGTTCACACCGTGGGTCGTTCTCAAAATGTACCGGTCAGTTAAGGAAATAGTGCTCAGTTTTGTTATCTTGGTGATTCTTCACAGCCACGTCAGCAACTGTGCGGTAAGTGAATTTTGATATGTAAATTTTTAAGCGTACAAACACTCCCATACACTGTTGATTTTTTTTTCTAGCGAGTAAAAGAATTTGTCGGTGAGAAGGTGGCAACATGTACTAATGCCAACACAGAGAAATTTGTGATGAAATTTCCAGGATCTCTAAATTATACCCTGGGAAGTAACATTGCTAGATTCTACGGAAATTTCAGCGTTACGGAAACGGTTCAAGAACCGCTCGAGGTGCTATTATATTAATATTTTAAATCTTGACCGAGCAATCAAATCACCTGACCTTTTTTCCTACAATAGTTTATTATAATAACGAATCGGTGCACGATGGATATGAAGACATGTGAGCTCTTCAACAAGATAAACCTGTCCAACATCTGCCGGTACATCAATGACGAGAAAGGCCTTTGGGCTTCTTTCTTCAAAAGCTTGGAGCCCGATCTGCGCTGTCCGATCAAACCCGGTGTCTACAAGTTTGAAAATTCCATCATCGATCTTTCCTTCTTCACTAACTTCCCTCTCGAAGGCTACCGGTGGCAGGCTAGTTTGAAACTGTACTCGAAAACCCAACCGAAGAAGGAATTATTTTGCCTTTCAACACAAAACTCAATGCGGTGGGTGAAGAAACCGTAGAAGAAGAAACCATTTGGAGGATTCAGCAGTTCCGGAATATTTGAGATAATGATTAAATGTTATGTAATGACCTATGAATTTATTGTGGAATCGTTCATAATTGCAATAAAAAGCTAACAGTCAAACATTAATTGCCACACTTTCAATCACTTTCCATTCACGACGTTCCTTCGGTGGACGAAGGTGGATGCTCCAACACCGTATCGATGAGACCCAGAGTTTGTGCTTCTTCCGGCGAGAAGAACGTATCACGTTCCATCTTGCTGTACAGAACATCCATCGATGTTTTCGTATGCTTGCCGTAAATCTCAGTCAGTTGCTTTTTCAGCTTTAAAATCTCTTGCGCCTGAATCTGAATATCGGTGGCTTGTCCCTGGGTACCGCCCGACGGTTGGTGGATCATAATCCGGGCGTTGGGCAGTGAGTGACGCATACCGGGAGCACCTGCCGCCAGCAGCAACGAACCCATTGAGCATGCTTGACCAACGCACCACGTAGCCACGGGAGGCTTTACGTACTGCATGGTGTCATAGATGGCTAATCCGGCCGTCACACTACCTCCGGGAGAGTTGATGTACATGTGGATTGGTTTGGTTCCATTTTCCGACTGCAAGAAAAGCAGCTGAGCTACAATCAACGAGCTAAGATCGTCATGGATGGGGCCCATCAAGCAAATGATTCGTTCCTTGAGTAGACGGGAGAAAATGTCATAGGCCCGTTCTCCTCGGCCGGTCTGCTCTACCACGATCGGAACAAGATTGAGTAATCGACTGCTGGAGGCGTGCAGATTTCGCTGTGGAGTATGCAAGTGAGATTTTTTTGTTCTTCCGTCTAAATAATAAGCTTACCACATTCGCAACATTTTTAAGAATGGACCTTAACTGCATCATTACTGCAAACTTTGACCTAACGAAAAATGATTAAATGAGAGCAAACGATTGTTATTCACCCGGAACACCGATAGAAAACTGTAAACAATGTTTCGCAATCGGAATCTGAATGCCCACAGCATAAATTACTTTTTGACAGTCGCGGCTTACGCCTGAAATCTAGAGTGGTGAAATTGTGTGCACCCAGGGCTGCTGCTAATATTAGAGTGGTTCAAGATATAGACTGTTCCAACTTAGCTCAAACCTGGGACGGGACTTGACAATCGGGTAGCGATTTCGAGCCAATTTTCTGTCAAATCCGAGCTAGTTTCTGATTGGTCGATTTGACAGTAGCAATCGTGGAATAAAAAGGATAGAGGATCGCATCAATCTGGCTGGCGTCAATGGCGTTGTTATTTGTTTATATTTGCGAAAGGAGAGTTGAAAAATTGAGTGCACTGCGTGTTTTAAGCAATGGATATTGTTGTTTGTATATGGTTATTTTTATTGTGTTGAGCAAAAATGATGTTCAAGCTGCTAGACTGCGGTAGAAACTCCGGATAAAATCCAAATTTAAAATAGAAAAATATTTTACATTCCTGGCACCATTGGTCAACTCCTTCAAACACCACGCGCAACTTTCCGAAGGGCATTCTTCAAAAACATTAAGAAGAGTGAGAAGCTCGATTGTCATGTCCCGTCCCGGGCTCAAACGATTTTTGTCAAATTTCGGATGTTTGTGTATGGCGTCGCCTATGGCCAGTGGATACTATTGATTATGTGTGTGATATAGTGATAATAATTATGTACAATAAAGAGAATAAAGTTATAAAGAGAGAGAGAAAGGTTAGTAATTTCCATTTAATTCCACTACCTTAAATGGAAATTATTAATCTTTCACTCTCTCTTTATACAGGTATATTCCACTAAGACGCCCACTTTCATGAGGAGCATAATGTTTTTTTTTTTAAGAGTTAAGGGTTTCTTAAAGGAATAAATTGGTTTAATGGCAGGTGAAGCAAAAAAAAACAAATCGATAAAATAGGTGCATTTCACTCATTTCGCAAAAGCAAGAAGGGTACAAAATACCTATTTTTGAAGAATATGTGCAGTATTTCATGGATTAAGTCACTTTTCTTGATGATGGGTAAAATTTTACTTATTAATGGGTGCTTTGGAGTTAGCATGTAGAGGGAGAGATCCCAACAAACAATTTTAGCTGCAGATTAGCTTATACAGCCAAAATTTGCCTTATGCAGCTAATTTTTGCCTGTATAAGCTAAGCTGCAGCTAAAATTGTTTGTTGGGATGGGCCGTATTTAGAAGAGACGTGATCGCACTTATCAAATTCGTCTCCCCATTGTCCGTCTTTCCATGGGCAAACTTAACAATACTCTGTAAATTTGTCTTACCAGAACTTCAAACCGATAAGAAACGATGAGTCCCACAGCGAGGGAGAAAAAAGTATGTGGTGTGCTGAATCGAAAATACGTTTTCTTAAAAAAAATACTTAAAAATCTGTTAATACTCGAAAAGTTGTCAATACATCATGAAATACACATATTACATCAATACACATGAAATGCATTAAAATGCAGTAGACAATTTTAATTTAATTCCCAAAAATATCTTATTTTAGGCAAATACGCCACTAATATGTCAATGCATCAATAAATCAGTAATGCTTTTGTAATACGTCAGTCGAGACTTCAATACACGCCAATACGCTTTGAACCTCCAAGATTTTCCTGCGAGTTTTTGAAGTGAATGGATCACCCGCATAGGTGATTTTAGCAGGCATTGGTCCGATGGGACGACTAAGCAGCTTGCTCGGGTCGATGAGTCGCTCATCTGATCTTCGTGTCCCTGCAATAGGGACAGCTGGAACCGTTCGTATCGCAACTCTAATAAAAATAATTATAAAGAGAGCTTAACGACGTGTTCAGGGTATCATCCAAACCATTTATGGGATAGTTAACCCATCCGGGATACAGTTCGTTTGTGGTATTCGTTTATTAGGGAATTTCAGCCTCGATTTCAGCTGAAAACGGAAGCCGTGGAAGCAGTCAACAGTGGCGATTTGGAACAGTTCATCAAAGCTTTGGAGAATGCCCACAAAAATAACACCGATGCGGACAAGAGCAAATCGTCATCCTCGTAGCGCGCCGAAACCGCTAGCAAGGAAGAGAATGCCCATGGTGGCAGCCAAAACCGAGAAAAAGGATGATGATCAAATGATAGATTCGAACAAACCGTTTTCCGAGGAGTTCCATTTTTTTGTGTGCGTACACTTGATAATCTGGTACGAAAGATTTTACTCTATGCTACTAATGAACCATAATCAGAACCGTAGGGGAACTATCCGTACCTACCGGAATGAGGCAGACAGAGAGGTAAAAATTTGCTTAGAAATAAGTAGGGATATTTTTTTTTTTTAGAAAAACGTCGTAAATTTGAATATTCATGCTAGGCGGTGCCAATCGAAAATAAGAGCAAACTTTGGAAATAATCCTGGAAATAATATGAATGTTTTCTAACAATTCCTCATACTTGTAACCAGTGTTGGCAAAATCAGAAATCAATTGATATTTTTCCACTCTCATGGGCTCGCAATATCACGTGTGATATTGCAACAAAATATCATGCTTGATATTTATTTTACAAGCTCCTTTGATATTGCGAGACTATTCACAAAGTGCAAAAATCAAGCTGAGAGTTGACTCGACACAAAAATGATTCCATTGCACATCGTTTTCTTAGAAAGAGAAAACATAGTTTGCTATCTCTTTTTAATCTTCACTGATGGCAGATGCGAAGGGACTACTGCAAGCCGTTATGGAAGTTTCGGTTGCATTCGGGTTTAAAGCAAAAATCATTAAACTCAATCTCACCACAGTTTGGTAAGATTTGCAGTTGGTGAGTTTTGTTAGCTTGATATTCCGAGCTGCGATATCACAGCTTGCAAAATCAACCGCAGTTGTTTGCTTGTTGATTTTTGTCTACGAAAATCAAGCGTGATCTTGGGCGTTGGTGAGATTTGATTTTTTGATATTTTCCCAACACTGCTTGTAACTTTGTACAATTCGCATCCGATTTTATTCTTCTGCATTGAACCATTTACGTCAACTGTTTCTTTGAAGGAAAACCCAAAAAAACACAAGCGAAAGCTATGCAACCCGATACATGAATCAACACACAAAGAAAGTGCAGTAGGCAGAACAGCAAACCGCAACATCGCAAAGATAGAATTACTATTACTAATTTTATTATTGAGCAACGATTAAAAAGCGAAAATTCCCGTTCAAACACTGCGGAATCCGAGGTTATGAGTTCTTTGTTTGAAATTGCGAAAGAAAGCGATTATCAGGAATCGTTTGAGAAAACTGAAGATATGAGTGGACCAATTTTCGGTAGTAGCAGTACCCTTGGTTTACTTCCGGGGGAAACCAGAGGGGAAACCATCATCTGGTTGAAGGAAGGATGAACCTTGGCAACAAAATGGTACATCCGGATAATACCCCGTTCACATTACAGCCTATATCACGTAATATAGGCTGTCTTGCAATGATCACTCATACATAGGATTTCCAGTGAAAACTAGATGTATGAGTGCTCATTGCAAGACAGCGTATATCACGTGATATACGCTGTAATGTGAACGGGGTATAAGCAGTATAAGGCTTGAATCTTGAGAAGATTGAGAACGTCAAGACTGGGCGGGTTTTCTTGTTGCAGTTCAAGAGTTCCAGTCATAGGTTGTTCTTCTGGATGCAGGAACCGAAAGCTGACATGGATGATGAGTGGTGCCGTCGAATTAATGAGGTGATCAACAATCCTCCGTCATGGAATAGCTTGGGAGATAGTTCAGGACGTGGAGGAAACCTTCGATTAAATTTCGTTCAGTACACGTTTAGAGCATATTCTACAAATAAATAATCGCGATTACGTAAGATACTAATTATTACACAAAATGACATTGATGCATTTCAATTCATCAATACGCTCCAATACGTATCCCCAATACGTTTGGATGAAACGAAAATACATGAGTGGTCTGCCCCTTGACAGTTACTGCCTGCAGCTTTTTTTTTAGCAAAAATGGTCTATAGACCTTTTTGACGTTTAATCGTCTTTCTCTATCTAGCACACATGGATGAATGCACGGTTTGTTTTCCCACTATTAAACTGTTTCCCTCTTGTTCGCACTCGTTCGTTTTAAATGGTGTACACACTCAAAGATAAATTAAATTAAAAAAGCTTAAAAAGTATGCAGTTTCCCGCTTCACCTTATTGAGTCCGAGCCATGATTACTTCGGCAGTAGTCATGCATGACTAAAATCTAAATAATCTTTCCAGTATTAGATTTAATTCTTTTTAAATACTAATACCTATATAATAAAAAAAGATTAAAATTCAATCAAAAATTTTTAAAATAGAATCAAAAATGATTAAAATATATTCAAAAAATGATAATCTACAATCTAATCAACCATGATTAAACTTGGATTAATTTCAGATGCTTGTTTTTTAGAAAGAAAGGATTAATTCTCAATCATTCAATGTCAAATTGATTAAATTTCAAGCAAAATGGGAATAGTTCAATTTATCAGTGCAGGGTATGAGCGAGGGTTGTATCGTCCCAGCCCTGCATGGAGCTCAAATTATTCACCACTGATGTTTAATTTATTCACCACGCGTATTCTCTCTTCCTGCTTCCTCGTTCTCTTTCTTCCTTTTTGACAGCAAGCGATCATTATTTTTCTTTACATCGCAAAAACACGGCCTGGTGATTTCGGTGGCGTGTTCTGTGATTTCTTTTCGTAAATTTTACTTGTTTTCCGCGGAGAAATCGTGATTTTCATACGTGCAAACACTTCCTCGTGATCGGCCAGTGATGATCGCACAGTGACACAGGCGTGAAAAATGATTGAACACGAGCAACCAGCTATTAATATCACCGACAATAAGGTCAGTCAAATGTATTTCCTTTAATGGCAATCCCCCTCAGCTCAGCAGCTGCAGCAACAAACCATATGGATGTTTGTTTGCAAAATCTGGAGCAAATATTGCGTTCTAAAATTAGAATATTTCCTTCGTCTTCTCAATTCGTAACAGGTGATAGATCATGAGGAATTCCTCAACCGCATCAAGAAAACGCTTTACTATGGATCACCGACGGTAAAGTGCACGAAGATTAGCCGTCCCCTGGCTGACTATGCGGCGGACATCTTCTCCGAATCGCACCGGGGCCACTCGCTCAGCCGATTGAACTTTGTCACCGTTGGCAATCTGACGGTCACACCTTGCTCCCTCATTCTGGCGATGATCTATCTGGACCGGCTGAATGTTGTTGATCCTGCTTACGCCCGTCGCATTACGCCATCGGAACTATTTATAGTGTCAATGGTAAGTGGAACGGACGGACGGGATTGGGGACTTTAATACAATGTGCTGTTCTTTTTTTTTTTTTTTTGTTATTTCAAACATTGATCCCCAAGGGTTATCTTCAAGGGACATCCCTTTGAATTTGAATGCGCTTTCTTCTCCTACATTTATCAGCATAGTTTGACCTATTTGCTATCTGGTGCAATCATTGAACATTTTCTTTTTGCATCAACACAGCTTCTTTCGCGATGTGCGATCAGTTCGATGCACTAATCGCATTAATTAACTCTTACTCTCTGTGTTCACGCTTCAGTGAAACTGCTAAAGATCCAATTGAACGAGCTGTTCGGTGTTGATTCGCAGTTCGATACCTTTTTGCGCACACGATATACGATAGTGTCTGCGGAATTTTGTTGATCTCTAATGAGTGGAAAGCGATGACTCAATTTATCTATTTTCTTTTTGCTGATGGCTGTTGATTGCGCGTTTCTTTTTTAAAGATGTATGAATGAAACTGCTTCAGTTCCTTGAAGAGACTACCTTGATATTCCCGAGCACAAATCAATAAGAGTCCTGCTACTTGACGATGAGTATAAACAGGAATAGAGATATAATACACTCCTGTACAAGTTCTCAAAGAACATTAAGTTGAGGATTCCCCACGAAGAAGAAGAATAATTGTAATTCATAATTTCAGATGGTTTCGACCAAGTTCTACTGTGGCTACGACGAGGACATCTATCTAAGTGCCTGGGCCGAGTCCGGAAATATATCGGTTGATCACATGAAAGAGCTGGAGCTTGAATTTCTTGATGCAATAGTAAGTATCCTATATAATCTGCCGCATAATCCTAACCAAACAATGCCTCCCATCAAATTCACATATAGGGTTGGAGCGTGTACGTATCGAACCACGAGTTCTTCGAAAAGCTCAAATCGGTAGAGAAGGTACTGGCCAAGCGGCAAGGTTTGGCACGCGGTTGGCTAACCTACACCGAGTTGATAAACTTCCTTCCGACGATGACACTGGCAAAGCAGATTCTCAACTATAGCACAGTAATTGCGTTCAGCTACACCGCCAGCGTTATGACCATTGCAGGGGCCTTCTTCATAGCTAGCAACATTAATGTACCTGGAAATCTCTTGTTCCGTGGGACCGCCGCCACCACCCAGCCCACACAGAGCACCGCTACTGCAAGCATCGACACTGCGTTGCCCACCACTGGTGTTAGCAAACCGTCCACACCGAAGCAACAGCACAACTGCTCCAGCGGATGCCCGGTACCGGTTTCAGATCCCTCGATAGAACAATCTCTCTTACTAGACTGCGAATGCTCCTTGCAAATGGCAATCGAAAGCGTTCAACTGCTCAACCGTGCTGCATACTTCAACGGTTCAACTTCAAACTATAAGGCTGACTTCCAACATCTTCCAGTGGCGCAATTGGCACCGACCGCACGCAACTACGGGCCCACTATCAGCTGGAAGAACTTCCGATTCATCTATCCGTTGCCCATCAGTGCTGAAGAGGACGACGATGGAAACGAGACTGACATGCTTTCGATTGGCACCGAACCCGACAACCGAAACTGCACCTACGGCGAATTCATTCCACTTTTTACTTACGGCACAAGGCCTCAGTGTTATCTGAAGGAACACGGACAGCAACCGGCAAGTCGTGTCTACGAGAGCTACAAACGAACTTTCGAAATGTTTAGTTCTTTTTTGAAATTTTTGTGAAGTTCGAAAATTTGTCCGTCGAAAAAGAGCTAACATTTTTTTTTTACCATCATATTTTTTTTGTAATCCACTCTTTTTATGATATGTTTTAATTAACATCTCCATTAAGAATTAATTTACTAACCCACAAAAAAGCTGCGAAAAGTAGGTAGGCTTAAAACGAAAACGATAAAAAAACAAGCACGGAATCTTTTTTTTATTCTGGCCGCAAGTATTTAAATGCTAACAAAAGTACCTTTCAACAAGAATTCCACTTCAACGAATTTAGGTCCAATGGTTCTGAATTGAAGCTAATTTGCAATTTCGTATTAACTGGTTTGAAATTAAAATACATAGAATAATTTGTCAATATTAACAGCACCGTAAATTATTGTTTATTTAAAAATTCAAAAAGTATCAATAAAATTATTTATTTTCTCAGCATTTCTTGTAGATGTAATACTTCATTGAAAAGGACATGTCCGAAATCTGCACCTAGAGTGATTAATCGTTTTCGAAAAAATAGTACGTCGTAAACAGCGTTGTTAATCGATAAAGTAATAAAGCAAACTTATTGGACGGTAGCTAGAAGCTTCAGCTGGATTTTTATATTTATAATTTTACCAAGAAAGACAAGGTACTCTCTGGGAGTTTTTTGATGAGGATATAGAAAATACCATCATCACCTGGAGCTTTCATAGTTTGTATTTTTTCAGTTATAGATCTTACTTCGTAAAATCAGTCCCCCAGGAATCATCAAAAATATTTGCCCGAGAGAAAATATTCAGATAATCCCGAGCAACCTGATTCTCAATAGGACTAGTAAGAACCAAACTGAAATTATGGGAATTCTCGAATTGCCTAGCAAGTTACTGAGCTTTTTCCAAATTTGTGATCAAAATGTTACCTCCTTCTTTAAGCGCTGGATTTGAATTGGCTTGCGAGGTTTTATCAAATTTTTTGTGAGCTTCCAAAACAGTTTGGAACTCGGGTCTAATTCGAAACATCATTTTCAAAAGTTTTGTTCCTCAGGACAGAGAATCGCTGTTTAATTTGTTTTTTTTTGCAAATCCCGCCAGATAACTATCATGGCAGGATCGCGTGTTCTTTGATATTGTCTCCTACGGACATTTTTCAGGCGGATTAACAGATGAAGATCGTCGTCTATTATAATTGAATCGAATTTAACCTCGCATTTTGGTACTGAGGCAGCTCTTGCTTCAACTATAGAAGTAGTCAGAGATTGGAGAGCATAATTAACATCATCATTGGTTTGCAAAGAAATTTTTGGATCGAAGTTATATTCCATAACATTTAATGTTCGATTTTGCTCGCAATCAGCTCTATGGTAATTGAAAGTAGAGCTGTTGGGATTAGAACTTATTTCTTGGGATATTTCAAAAGTTACTGGAAGGTGATCAGAACCGAAGTCAGCATGAGTAACCAATTGGCTACAAAGTTGACATGAATCAGTTAAGACCAAATCAATAGTTGAGGGATTTTTTGCTGAAGAAAAGCACGTTGGACTGTTTGGATATTGAATATTTTGTGTTGAACCTGCCAGCAAAACAATCATCAAACAGAATGTTACCAGTGGAATTGCTTTGAGCATTATTCCATGAGCGGTATTTTGCATTAAAATCACCAATAATGAAGAATTTTGAATTTAGACCTTGGTTGGTTTCTGAAGATCACCCTTGAGAAAATTATTTTGCTGGCCTACGAATTGTAATGGCAAATAAGCAACTATGAAGGCTGACTAAAAGTAAATGGGTACGCACAAAAAGACCTGTAATTCGTGATTCAATAAGTTTAAAAAGTCCATTAATGGTTGCTTTACAGTACTTTTTATTAAAACTTCTAAGTTACAGCATAAGATGGTTACATTTCTCCAGTTTGAACGAAATCTCGAACCTTCCTCTTGATGGAGCCCATCACCGCCCGCACAGTGGAAACGGACACGGAATCAGCGCATTTCCATTTTGCCCGCATTTGCTGGATGTCCTTGACTGCCCCGCCGCTTCGTCGAAGTCGCTGCTTTGAAATTGCCCAGTATTTTTCGATTGGCCGAAATTCCGGGCAATCCGGAGCTTGGAGACAATAACGAGCTTGTTGGCAGTATACCACTTCAGAATCAACTTGGAGTAGTGGCAGCTGGCCAAATCGAGCCAAAAGATGACTGCCCCTATGCTTGCGGATGAACGACAATACTCGCTTTTTCAGGCATTCTTCGCTGTAAATTTGGGGTGTCATCAGCCGTCAAAATTGGCTCACTACTTGACTTGCCTACGAGCTTGCCTATACTACCTATAATCGAATATCAGTACCATATTGAAAAAGTAGGCATTGAGAAAATGGCAGTCGAAGTTACGAAGTGCAATTCTCAAGTGCAAAAGTTTAAAATAGTGAGATACGATCATTATTATGGACGATACATGTAGAAAATTTGTCGAATAATGTAATGTTATGTTAATTTTCATTACAATGTCATTGAAAGATAATGAAAATGCGTTTTTTGATGCACCGATATTATTTAGGTTATGTATTGTATGATTGCGGATTCCTATCCAGAAATCGACGTCCTTGTCAGTCTGCTTAATATACTGGATTATGTTGGGGACTTGGTGCTAGCGGATTTAGAGACATAGCATATTATGTGCTTGGGCGCGCCAGTAGATCAGCAGCAAAGTAAAAATAAAGGGGAATGGGTTTGTACTGCAAAGTTCCCATCCCGGGGAGCAGCCACCAGCGTTGCCAGATATACCGATTTATCGATATTTATACCGATTTTCGAACTAGATACCGATATACAGAGTTCCTCAGAATACCGATTTTTAAGATTTTATACCGATTTATAACCAATTTTCTACCTCTCACCCCAGCAGGCCTGGGTTCAATCCCAGTCGGCGCCGCCGGGATGTTCTGAGGCATAACATATCTGATCACGCCTTCCTTCGGATGGTAAGTAAAGTCGTTGGTCCCCGGTTCATGAGTTGATGGGTCGATAGGTAGGGTCCAGGTGTGGAAGCTGTCTTCCTGGCACGTCGGTAGCATTGGTGCTCAGCACGGAAAACAAGATCGACGGAAAAAAACAAATCAAAGGAAAAAAAATAACGATTTTTTAAATAATCAAAATTATTATTGCATGCCGCCGCTCGAATTTCGGAGAAATTTTTTGTGAGAGACTTGTATCTTTTTGAATACCTACCTCATATAAAAAATCATCTCTTAAGATGCCTTATGCTTGATACTCTTTTGACTAATGTTTGCGTTTCCTCCTTTTGATTGGCTACCCATCAAACGAGAAATAGTCGATGGCTCTTTCCGGTAATTCCTAGGGAATCGAGAAATATGTTTTCAACATTATTTAACTTCCGGAAGTTTTTATTCATTTTTTAACTTCCTGAAGTTTCACCCAACTTTCCCTGAAATTTTCTTCCACCTTACCTTGGAAGCTTCTTCAGCCTTCGCTCGAATAATTCTTTCATCTGCTCCCGCCAGTTTGGAAATTTTTCCGGAACTTCGAGGATGCTATCATATTCTTATTGCTAATTCACACTAGCTGCAGGAACATTTAAGAAGTTCTGAAACTTCAGAAAAGTCCAGACTTTTGTGTTAGTTTCGATAAACTAAAGAAAGTGTACGCGATGAACGCTTCCAGTAGGAAAATGAACGACGTCATCGAATGGCGCATCCTGATTGGCTGACGCAGCCGAAGAAAGAGTATGAAAATAAACAACATTGCAATTCATGTTTCATGATCATCTCATCAGATAGGTCATTCTCTGCTTGATCGTCAAGCAGTTCAGTTCGGTGTTAGCTCGCTCTCTCGAGTTGTTTGAAAAGTTCGTGGCGATAGTGTTCGCGCTCTCTTTCGCGGTTTGTCGTGCGTGTGTGTGTGCCCCGAAATGGGGAAGCATCGGTCGCGAAGCCCGGCGAAGGTCCAGAACCCCGGTGAAGGAAGCTCCGGTGTGACTACCTCGAACAGGTTTGCTGTTCTCCCCAGCAAGAAGAGAAAGAAGAATCGAGGCCAGTCCGATGTCACTGCGACGAACGCCAGCGACATCGGTGATTTCGGCGACGCCATCGGCAACGAAAATTCTGCCGGCCCGAGTGCGGCAAAAGTGAAGCTACCTCCATTGGTAGTGAAAAATGCCCATCTTAATGAGCTCATCGCAGATCTAGCGACGCTGGGCGTTAAAGCCGAATACAAGTTGGGCAGAGTCGGCACCAAGGTGGTGCTCCGTACCAAAGCGGAGTATGACTTAGTCGTCACCCACCTGAGGACTTCCAAGGTGGAATTCTTTACTCATGACATTCCCGGTGAGAAGCCATTCAAGGTCGTCATTAGGGGCCTACCAAACTTCGACCCGAAGTTTATCGAAGCTGAAATCAGAGACCGGTACAAGCTGACCCCAAGTGCCGTCTATCGGATGACAAGGAAGGACGAAAATGTGAAGGCGTATCCGGATAGCCTTTTCCTGGTACACTTCCAGAAGGGAACGGTGACGCTCAACGCGCTGAAGGCCATCCGCTCCATCAATTCCATCATCGTCCGCTGGGAGCCATACCGTGGCGGCCATCGTGATGTGACTCAGTGCCAACGGTGTCTGAACTTTGGTCACGGCACCCCCAACTGCAACATTAAGCCACGCTGTGGCAATTGCGCTCAAGACCACGCCACTTCCGACTGCCCTGCGGATGGAGCCGTGGCGTTAAAATGCGCCAACTGTGGTGGTGCTCACCAAGGTTCCGACAGACAGTGCTCCAAACGCGAGGACTTCAAACGCATCCGAAAACAGGCGGCAACTAACAACCAACCAGGACGCAAGAAGGACAAAGTCCCGGCATTTCGGACGGAGGATTTCCCGCCTCTTCGTGCTCCTCAGCAAAGGCAAGAGAATTCGCGGGTGCATTCCACTCAAGCAACTTCTGGTGATTCTGCTGGCCAAAGCTCTCCATCCCCCCCCTGGATTCTGGAGACAACCACCAGCGCAAAACAACAACCCCGATCTGTTCTCAGCGGATGAACTGATGGAAATTTTCGTCAACATGTCCGGTGCTCTTCGTAAGTGCCGCAATAAGCCCGAACAGATCCAAGTGCTCGGTAAGTTCATCATCCAGCATGGTGTCTAAGCCGCTAACCATCGCTACCTGGAACGCTTGCTCTGTAAAAGCAAAACAGATTGAGCTTGCCGACTTCCTCCGCAAGCACAGCATCGACGTGGGCCTTCTAACCGAGACCCATCTAAAGTCCGGCGACAGCTTCTGGTTGCCTGACCACAACATTATCCGGCTTGATCGCACCAGCTCCAGGGGGGGGTAGTGTAGCGGTCATCGTCAGAAAGCGAATCAAGTTCTGCACTCTGCCCCACGTCCGCACTTCTATCATCGAGGCCGTTAGTGTGGAGGTGGAATCACCAACTGGA